GTCGCGGTGGGGTCAGCCAAGGGGATGCTCTCAAGCTGCAAGAGTTAAGAGTTGCGATTTGGCCGCATAGGGACTGGTCGCGTTCAGAGGCGCGGGTCCACCTACATCCACACACACCCTCACGCACACGCACGCACACGCGCTCGCTCGCTCCAACGCACCTTCCCTCCCGAACGGCTCTGCTCTGGCGAGGAATTCCCGAGGCGCCCCGAGTGAGGGTTCGCGGCAGAGGTGGGGTTGGAGGTGTACCTGTCCCGTAGACCTTTGGCCCGAGCTGCCCTGCGGATGACCTCATTCCTGGCGGAGGCGGCCATGGCGGAGTGGTAGCCCAGCAGATGCGTGGGAGACTCCCCCCAGTGCACACGCGCTCACATGTGCACGCTACCTCCCGCCCCAATCCGCTCGCACATATACGCACATGGACGTACGTGTACATGGTGTCGGTCCGGCTAGTGATACAGTGCCCAAACTCGTAACAGTGCTTGAAATCGGTGACCGAAGGCCCCGCGCGACAGGCCCATGCGGCGAGCCTGAAATGGACTCCTTCGCAGACACAGCTGCAAGTGGCCTTCTCTTGTCCAAGCATCCCGTGGTGTACAACAATATGCTCTGCAAAGTCGAAAATCCCAAGGATGTAAGTGACAGCTCGCCCAGTGTGACCCCCTCGCTGACCTGTGATTCCCCAGTGACCCAGCTGTCGCCGCCTGTCAACATGACCTCGGAACATGTCTCGCCTTCAGAACATGGCATTAAGGTAGGAACTTTGCGCCTTGTCGTGTACATATTAGGTTACAGTGGGAGAGAAAAATATCTTTGTTTCCGCGCACACCTGTTGCGAGACTGTAAGTAGACGTGGAATCGAAGAGAGTCTGTGATAACAGCGAGCCACGAAAGAAAGTATATAAGAATAAGGAAAGTGTAGTGTGATAAACAGATAAATCGTATTTCAAGCCTAGTTATAAAATTTTGGACCTTTTTCGGAGAACAGCTACGACTGGTAGAACAATTATCTATCGCGATGAACTACTCGTTATAAAAAAGATAAATAAAGGAACGTTAATTTAGTGAAGTATATAGTGAGCGGCCCAATCGTGTAAATGGAAAGGCTCAAGTGACTTAATCAAATGCTTAGTAGGTCAAGAAATTTGCAAGATCTTTGCCCTCAAAAAAAAAAAAAAAACTATAAAAAGATATAAGAAGTACTTGTGAATCATCGTTTAGCAAGGTTGTTTAAATAGTCCATGAATATTTACATACGAAAGCACTCGTTCCCCGGGAAAGATGATAATGGCGAATCAGTACACAGGAAACGAGGGATATTGCCTAATCACGATGCTTAAACAGCCGAATCGCATACCTCGCTCGTTAGTCAAAAGGAAAATAAATGTTGCTTTTAAACCACGTAAGCCTGGCTATTCTATAAATAACCCTGAGGTCACTAAAGAATAATTCTTGGGTTAGTGATGATGTTTTAGCGTGTGAAAGAATGGGAAAAAAAGAATTCATGTAGTAATATAATCCGTATATGCGGATGACATGGCGAAGATAACTACTTATAAGTGCGTTGAAATCTCTATTACTCGGTAAGGTTTAAGCAGAAGAATAAAACGTCGAATCATTCTTTAAGAATTAAAGAACAAGAGAGAGAGAGAGAGAAAAATACCCAAATCGACTCTACATATTACCACTTTCAATATTTTATACGCGGTCATAAATGTATATTCAAAAGTTATCATTATACAGCCAAGATTCCACATTAACCTTTTGCTCGTTTTCTAAAGAGACGAAGCGAAACAAAAGACGAAAAGGCGGCTTATTAAATGGAATTACGAAATACAACAACAGCTGCGATACATCCACTATCCTAAATTTCTTTTACTGATGTATTTTCTCGTTGAGCTGATGAAGACAACAGATATTCATCAACAAATGTCTTTTTTCAAGCATTGCGAAACGATGCCAGTTATTTCACCAAGCAAATTAAGAATGAGTGAAAAGCCAATACGTGAATGAGGACAAAGTTTCCCGAAATTAGAGATAATTGTTTTCAAATTATGTACGAGACACGACAATGTAATTTCCTGACAAAAAAAAAAAAAAAAATGACGGGAAAAACCTACGGGTATAACAACCCACAAAATGAATGTCGCGTAGAATTCCTTTCGGCCAATTTCGTTATCAAATTTACGAATGAGGAATAAGGAGAAGATGGAGATAATAGGAGAATAAGGTAATATTGATAAGGATAATAATATATAAAATGGGCATAAAGGTGTAATATTTAAAGGGGTTGGATATAAATTTTATAAGGATGTCGATATTAATGTTACGAACGAAGGAGTATGAGAAGACGAGAATAATAGTAGATGAAAGTAATATGAACAGTAATGATGATAATAAAAGAATGTATAAGGATGTAGTGAGGGAAGGACGGAATATAAATTTTACAAGGCTATCGTTATAATTTTTGCAAACGAGGGAGAATGTAAAAACGAGAATAAAAATAAGTAAAAATAAGACTAAAACTAACAACAACAATACAAATATACATTTAAAGATGAGATTAGCAAAAAATGATGACAAAAAAAAAATCTACAAAGATACCGATACAATTTTTGCAACGAAGAAAAAAAAAAGATAAAACGAGAATAACAGCAAATGAAAGAAGAAGAAATTGACGATAAGGATAATAACGCAAAATAGATATAAGGATGTGATAGGAAAAAAATAATGAAAAAAAATCTACAAAGATACCGATACAATTTTTGCAACGAAGAAGAAAAAAAAAATGATAAAACGAGAATAACAGCAAATAAAAAAGAAGAAATTGACGATAAGGATAATAACACAAAAATAGATATAAGGATGTGATTAGGAAAGGATTGGACTTACGCATAATCTCCACCGGTGGTTACCAATAGCGCATAATAGCTTACAAAGTTAAAACGCAATTTCTGTGTCGAAACTCAGATATAACGACACCCTTTTTTAGCGTTAAATGAAGTAATTGAAGGTTAACGAACGGAAAAGAACAACGAAGGTAGAAATACGAAATATTGATAATTGAATGAAATAGAAATTTTTTTTTTTATTAGCATCGTATTCCCAGTGGCCACCGAACGAAAGTAGAAATACGAAATATTGATAATTGAATGAAATAGAAAAAAAGGAATGTTTGGATTTAATAGCATCGTATTCCCAGTGGCTATCGTGTCCTTGTTAAAATATGAATATATTTTAAAAAATGATCGTTATTCTTAAATATGGAAGTGATGATCGTATATGAATCGATATCAAAAAAACGTATTTAATTAGAATCTACGACTTTTATCGTATAGGAATGGGCATTATAAACGTATTTAATTAGAATCTACGACTTTTCTCACTCTCCCTAAATTCGCTGTATGAGGGTGCCAAGGGTGCCATCTGTCACGCCATCTTGAGATTCTTGTGTCTGTACCCACGACCTACCCTTTCACCTTGGCACTTCCCCCTTACCCTCTCCCTCTTACCTTCCTCCGACCATCTCCTCTATTTTACTCCTTTCTCTTCTCTCCTCCTCCTTCTCCCTTTCTCTCTTACCTTCCTCCGACCATCTCTTCCTCTTCCTTACACCTTTCTCTTACTTCTCTCCTCCTCCTTCTCCCTTTCCCCTTACCTTCCTTCCTCCGACCCTCTCCTTATTTTACTCCTTTCTCTTACTTCTCTCCTCCTCCTTATCCCTTTCTCCCTTACCTTCCTCCTCCTCTCTTCTCTCTCTTACTCCTTTCTCTTGCTTCTCTCCTCCTCTTCTCCCTTTCTCTTAACCCCCTTATCGCTTATCTCCCTCTTACCTTCCTCTTCCCCTCTCCTCCTCTCTCTTCTTCTTCTTCTTCTTCTTACTTCTCTCTCCTCCTTCTCCCTTTCTCTTAACCCCCTTATCGCTTATTTCCCTCTTACCTTCCTCTTCCCCTCTCCTCGTCTCTCTTACTTCTTTCTCTTACTTCTCTCCTCCCCCTCCTCCCTTTCTCTTAACTCTTTACCCTTTACTCTTGTTCTACTCTTCTCCATTGCTCTTTATTCCTCTCCTACCCTTTCTCCTCAATCCTCTCCTATTCTTTTCCTCCCTTTCTCTTGCTCTTCTCCTTACCCATTTCTTTTAACTTTACTCCTTCCTCCTTTCGAAACCCTTAGCCATTTTTCTTACTCTTCTCCTCCTCTTTTCACCCCTTTCTCCTTACTCCTCTTCCTCTTTAGCTTTTTGGATTATCCGGCTGTTTTTCTTAATCTTTGTCTTGTCATTATCGTACAGGTTTTATTCCATATTTTAGGGCTGTTAGGTTTCAGTATAGTAGGAGAGATGTGTATGATTTTTTTGTTTCTTATTTTCTGTTTGTCTGTTTGTCTTTATGTTTGTCTGTCTGTCTGTCTTTCTGTTTCTGTCTCTGTCTCTGTCTTTCTCTCTCTGTCTTTCTGTCTTTCTGTCTGTCTGTCTGTCTGTCTGTCTGTCTGTCTGTCTGTCTGTCTCTGTCTCTGTCTCTGTCTCTGTCTGTCTCTGTCTCTCTCTCTCTCTCTCTCTCTCTCTCTCTCTCTCTCTCTCTCTCTCTCTCTCTCTCTCTCTCTCTCTCTCTCTCTCTCTCTCTCTCTCTCTCTCTCTCTCTCTCTCTCTCTCTCTCTCTCTCTCTCTCTCTCTCTCTCTCTCTCTTTCTCTCTCTCACTCCTATTTTTAATTCTCGGTTTTCCTTCGTCTAAATTCGTCCGGCATTTCTCCTTTTAGCCTTATTCGTCTCCTGTTGCCTAATTCATCTTTCTGTCCGTGACTTCAATACGTCATCTCGTTCTTTCTATCTCCTTTTTATCTTTCTTTCTTTCTGTTCTTTTCTTTCGTTTTCTGGTCATTATCATTATCTTTTTATCTCATTCTCCTATTTTTTATATATATATTTTTCTGGTATTTTCTTTATCGTTCTCTGTTCTCTGCTGTTGTTTCTCTTCCTCATGCTTCTCCTTCTCTTCCCTCCTTTCTCCTCGTTCTTCTTCTCTTCCTCTTTCCTCCTCATACTTCGTCTCCTTCTTCCCTTTTCTTCTTTTCTTCCTCTTTTCTCCTCATACTTCTCCTCCTTCTCTTCCTCCTCCTCCTCCTCTTCCCTCACTCTTTTCTTCCTCATACTTCTTCTCCTCCTCTTCCCTCACTCATTTCTTCCTCATACTTCTTCTCCTCCTCCTCCTCCCACATTCTTTTCTTCCTCATGCTTCTCCTCTTCCCTCATTCTCCTTTTCTTCCTCTTTCCTCCTCATACATCTCCTCTCCTTTGCATTCCTCATTCTCATTTTCTTTCTCTTTTCTCCCCATACTTCTCCTCCTCCTCCTCCTCCCTCATCCTTTTCTTCCTCATACTTCTCCTCCTCTTCCCTCATTCTTTTCCTCCTCATACTTCTTCTCCACCCCCTCCTCCTCTTCCCTCACTCTTTTCCTCCTCCTCCTCTTCTCTCATTCTTTTCTTCCTCATACTTCTTCTTCTCCTCCTCCTCCTCCTCTTCCCTCATTCTCCTTGGATCTGCCATGTCCTCCGCCTCACCAGCTGTCGCCTCAGGGGATTCCCACTCCCAGGATTGTGCATGCATCCTCCCCCCCCCCCCATTCTCCCTCCTTCCCTCTTCCTATTCTCCTCCTCCTCCTTGGCCTTCCTTTCTCCGTTCTTCCTTCTCCTTCCTTCCTTGTTCCTCCTTGTGCACCTTTTCTCCTCTTTTTCCTTCTTCTCCTCCTTCTCCTCGT